CCCCCGGGCCCCCCCCCGCCCCGGGCGGCGGCCCCAGGAACAGCCGCTGCTCGTACTTGGCCCGGATCCACGACTCGCGCTCCTCCCTGGGGGGACACCCAGGGAATCTCCTCGAGGTGGCCCGTGCAATGGTCCCCATGTCCTTCATGACCCGTGCCGTGGCCCCCATGGCCCCCGTGACCTGTGCTACGGTCCCCATGGCCCATGCAATGGTCCCAATGTCGCCCGTGACCCGTGCTGTGGTCCCCATGGCCCATGCCATGTTCCTCATGTCCCCCATGACCCATGCCGTGTTCCCCATGTCCCCCCATGACCCGTGCTGAGGTCCCCATGGCTCATGTCATGTTTCTCATGTCCCCCATGACCATGCTGTGGACCCCATGGTCCATCCCATGTCCCCCATGACCCGTGCTGTGGTCCCCATGACTCATGTCATGTTTCTCATGTCACCCATGACCATGCTGTGGTCCCCATCCCCATGTCTCCCATGACCCGTGCTGTGGTCCCCATGACTCATGTCATGTTTCTCATGTCACCCATGACCATGCTGTGGTCCCCATGGTCCATCCCACGTCCCCCCTCGCGCTCCTCCCTGGGGGGACACCCAGGGAACCTCCTCGAGGTGGCCCTAGACGTTCTCCAGAGCTTCCTTCACCCTCAGCGTTGGTGCCACGGGTGCCCCATGCAAAGGGTGGCTCACCGGGACGAGTCCGGCGTGGGTTTGCAGCGGCCCTGCGGGTTCTTCTCCCAGATGCTGTTGGCCGTGGCGTTGCCGATGGAGGCCAGCACCAGCGTGAGCTCCCGCGGCCAGTCGTCCAGGTCCAGGGAGCGCACGCGCGACACGTGCGTGCCCAGGTTGCGGTGGATGCCCGAGCACTCGATGCAGATCAGCGCGCCCAGGTTGAGGCTGGCCCACGTGGGGACAGCGGGGGGCAGAGGATGTCGGGGTGGGGACACCGGGTGGCCCCGTGGCACTGTGTGGCCATGGCAGAGCCAACGCCGCCGTGGGACCCACGGCACGGCCTGCAGCGTTGCGTGACCCACGGCATCGCGCAGCCCCTGGCACTGCATGAGCCAAGGCTTGGCATGACCTGCAGCATCGTGCAGCTGGTGGCATTGCATGATTGGTGGCACTGCAGGCTGGTGGCACTGGCATGGCCCATGACTACACAATCCAGGTCATCATGCAGCTCGTGGCATTGCATGATTGGTGGCACTGCATGGCTGGTGGCACTGCATGGCCCATGACTACACAATCCAGGTCATCATGCAGCTCGTGGCATTGCATGATTGGTGGCACTGCATAGTCCATGACATTACATGGCCCATGACCACACAACCCATGTCATCATGCAGCTGGTGACATTGCATGATTGGTGGCACTGCATGGTCCATGACATTGCATAGCCCATGACCACACAACCCATGGCATCATGCAGCTGGTGGCATTGCGTGATTGGTGGCGCTGCATGGTCCATGATATTGCATGGCCCATGACTACACAACCCATGTCATCATGCAGCTGGTGGCACTGCATGATTGGTGGCACTGCATAGTCCATGACATTACATGGCCCATGACCACACAACCCATGTCATCATGCAGCTGGTGACATTGCACGATTGGTGGCACTGCATGGTCCATGACATTGCATGGCCCATGGTCTGTGGCATCACATGGCCCGTGGCATCACATAAGCCATGACTTTGCATGGCCCATGGCATCATGCAGCTGGTGGCATTGTGTGATTGGTGACACTGCATGGCCCATGGTCTGTGGCATCACATGGCCTGTGGCATCGCACAAGCCATGACTTTGCATGGCCCATGGCATCATGCAGCTGGTGACATTGCATGATTGGTGACATGGCATGGCCCATGACATTGCATGCCTCATGGCCCATGGCATCACCTGGCCCATGGCATCACACGAGCAATGAATTTGCATGGTCCATGGCATCATGCAGCTGGTGACATTGCATGATTGGTGGCACTACATGGCCTTGCATGGCCCGTGACATCACGTGGCATCACACGAGCCATGACTTTGCATGGCCCGTGGCACCATGCAGCTGGTGGCACTGCATGGCTGGTGGGACTCCATGGCCTTGCATGGCTCATGGCCCATGGCATCACATGAGCAATGACTTTGCATGGTCTGTGGCATCACGCAGCTGGTGGCACTACATGCCTGGTGTCACTGCGTGCCCTGTGACACCATGTGGCCCCTGGCACCCCGTGTCCTGTGACACCGCCCGGTCCCTGTGCCCTGTGACACCACACGGCCCATGGCACCTCTGTCCCGTGACACCGCGTGGCCCCTGGCACCCCGTGTCCCGTGTCACCGCGTGGACCCTGGCGCCCCATGTCCCGTGGCACTGCAGTGCCCTGTCCCCTGTGACACCCCCCGGCCCGTGGCCCCCGTGTCCTGTGACACCCCCCGGCCCCCGTGTCCCGTGCCCTGTGACAC